GTCAAGAAAAAGTATTACTGGGCGGTACAGTTGGTTTTTTTTTTTTTTTTCCCTTCTTCTTTAAATATGTGAAACCACCTAAGTGAATTAAACTCTGGGTAGAAGACAACAGTCCAGACATTGTAGCCACCACATCTGCATCTTTCTACTGACCATGGTAAAGCACATTGTGAACATTACCACTTAAAACTAACTTTTCTTTTTAAGGGCTCCTGCAGTTGTGCCAGCTGACTCCAAGTCCACCCTGACCCCACAGCATAAAGCATGCTGTGATGTCACAGCTACCATAGAACTCCAGGGTAGTGTTGAGCTGGCCCATGGGGGCTCAGGTAAGTCCTGGCTTTTTTTTTACCATTTGGCATTCTTTTCAAAGTTAGTTACCATTATGATCTTATGTCATAAAAGAAAATAAGGCGAAACTTTGAAAACTGTGCCATATATGGGGGAAAAAATAAGTCTATTTTCTAAACATCTATGAGCCAGCTCCATATTCTGACCAACGGAGTTCCATAGTAGCTGTGAAGTCCCCAGTGAGTTGTGACCTGTGGCTTCAAAATATGTTAAATTCTACTCCTGGCCCAGCTTCTAGAACAATATGAGTTGTTTTTTTTACATTTTATATTTTGCAAGATGTAGTAACTTTCATTTACCCTTAGGTATAATGGGTTTAGAAGTGTGTTAACACTGCGTTATCTGTAGTTACGCACCGCTGCCTGCTTGGCTGTGTGTTTGCTTCATTCGGTCAGTTTCGAATGTATGATGAGACTGTAGGTTAGTTTTATAAAGTTAATCTTCTCAGAGTGCCTTCAGCTGTCCTTTTAATTTGCCTTCGTAGCACGGAAGAAGGAGGGACAGAACGTGTAATAGACATTTGTTACATTTTCAGAAAACATATTAAGAGAAAGATCCTTCAGTTACTCTCTTGGAGGGAGTGCGAGAAGTCAGTAACTAGGAGGCATGTATACAGCACCTCTTCCGTTGGAACGGTTCTGCTTTTTCCTGGTCATTGTTACAGAAAGTGAGATTTTACCCCTGTGTTTATTTTGCTGTCTTTTCCTCCCTACCAGCTCTTCTCCCCTCTTCCTTCTTTCCTTTATCCCCTGATATTAGAGGTGGTAAAAATGTTATGTGAATAACTCCAAAAAGCCATTTTGTAAGTTGCTTTGTGTATAATCTTAAACTTTGTCCCCTCAGTAGAAAACGTTTAGTAGCTATAAAACTTTACCTTACCTGAGTATGGGCCAGATCCTTTTAAATACGCTGTTTACAGTGAAGACCCATCTGTCAAGAAACTGTGGAAACTTTAACCAATAGCTGTCTTTGAACAAGGTGTCATACAGACAGACTGAATGTGTGGACCGTTCAGTGACAGTCTCATGGAACTTGTAATAAATGTACTTTGTAGCTGAAAACTCACTGGTAACTAAGTTCTCAGTTATAGTTAAAAGAATGGAATCCTATATTCCCAAAACGTTAGATGATGAAATCTTTTTCTCTAAAGTATTACTTTGTGCCTATATTTATGTTTGTGTTTTCATGTTCTAGAAGATTTGGAGGATTTTATGCTGTAAAGAATAGAGCACAGACTCTCTATTCCGTTCATCCTCATTTTCTGCCTTCCTGGTTTTGCTCCATGCTGGAGAGCCGCAGCATACCCCCTCTGTAGTTCAGTGCAGAGTTTGGGGTTGGAGGAAGTAATTGTTTTGTTTTTTTTTGATTTGGATGAATAGAAATCCTGTTTTTGTGTATATGTATCCTCTTTATTGAGGTAGAATTCATATACTGTGCAGTTCACCATTAGAAGTTCTATTTATATATATTTTTTAAATGCTCAATTTGAAGGCAACTGGGTGACGTTGTAAATCATAATTCCAAAGCACAGTTTGTCAACTTCCTTGTGCTGTTTGGTCTGTACCCCGCCCCCCCCCCATTATGTTAGTTTAGTTTCTAATTACAGAAATCCCTCACAAACATGACAGAGGAAATGAATTCTTAAACAAGAATTTCTAAGAGGAGATTCTTCCAAACATCAGCTGTATGGTGAGCTAGCTAAAAATAGGGAAGACTGTGATTTTAGAAGTTGGTTGGCAGTCATCTTTGTCTTTGGGAAACAAAAGAAGGTGTGTGCATGCACGTGCGTGCACGTGCCTAAATAGGTACACAGATGTATCCATGTTCTGTGCAATGGTTCCTGTGTGTGTTCTCAGGTAAATTGATTAGTCATTTTGGTCCTTGGGTGGCTTTTCTTAAGTCCTAAAGAAATTTTATAAATATATATTTTATAAATAATAAACTGTAAAAGGTGCAGTGATACTGAAGGCACCCAGAAATAGTGACAGCTTTGATAAGACTAATATGAAAAGTAGTTGCTTCCATATGGAAATACATATACACGGAAGGAAACAGAGTGGGGCATATTTGGTTCTAAAGAGAAGAACTGCATTAGATTATTCATAAAATTATGAGCTCTCTTCAGTTATTCTCATCTGTTCATTAAAACAAGCAGAAATTTTAGAGTTCTTTATGTACTTGACTCTAACCATAGATTGTTTTTATTTCAAGTAGAACTTTCTGTGTCTATTCTTTGTGTGCGTGTGTGTGTGTGTTTTATTATTTTTATTAACATATAGTGTATTATTTGCCCCAGGGGTACAGGTATGTGAATCGTCAGGCTTACACATCTCACAGCACTCACCATAGCACATACCCTCCCCAGTGTCCATAACCCAGCCACCCTCTCTCTACCCGCCTCCTCCCAGCAACCCTCAGTTTGTTTCGAGAAATTAAGAGTCTCTTACGGTTTGTCTCCCTCCCGATCCCATCTTGTTTCATTTTTCCTTCCCTACCCCCCAAGCCTCCCACTCTGCCTCTGAAATTCCTTATATCAGGGAGATCATATGAGAATTGTCTTTCTCTGATTGACTTACTTTGCTCAGCACAGCATGGGGGTTCCTCTGTTTCTATTCTTAAGGCTCGCCCTTTGGAGAAGATTCCTGCCAGTCGTATCACATTTTAGCCCTGATGACTTATCCAGGGCACTGGGCCTCCTAAGATTGTTTTAAAGCCCTTTCCATATTGGGAGTGGGAGTGACAGCTGTACTGAGGCATTTATATTGAAGAATGTATTAACCTATGTGGCCATGAAAATAAAAGTTCCTGTAAGAAGGTGTTCTCATTTGATATTATGGATTTCTTCACCTGAAAAATGTCTGTGTCGGCAGCAGGATATCCTTTTTTGGGGAGTGGGTCTAGATTTGCAGAAAGCATCCTCGACCACAGAGTCTGAAAACTTTTGAAGCTGGCCTTTTATGGCCTGTAAATATGATGAGAAGGGACTGTTTTGAGTATAGGAATCATGTTTTTACTATTTGTGTTTCTCACATTGCCTAGCATAGACAGTGCTTTGCATGTCATGGGCATTCAGTGAACATGGGAATTAAATTATTTTAAAGTTTTGTTATTTTTAATAACTGGGAGAAATTGTTGCATTGTACCAATCTGTTAGACTCCAAGGGGTAGCTCTTATTTCTTTAATTTCTAATTTAAGATGGCAATAAAAAATAAATTTTTAAAAAATACAGTAAGAATATTTTTAGCTAATATCAGCATTTTACCCAACAAATTTTTCTTGATATAAGTTAGGACACTTAAAATTAAAATTATATGGTCCCTGGGGCACCTGGGTAGCTCAGTGGGTTAAGCCTCTGCTTTCCACTCAGGTCATGATCTCAGGGTCCTGGGATCGAGTCTCGAATCAGGCTCTGCTCAGCAGGAAGCCTGCTTCCCCCTCTCTCTCGGCCTGCCTCTCTGCCTCCTTCTGATCTCTCTCTCTCTCTCTCTTTCTCTGTCAATAAATAGACAAAATCTTGTAAAAAAAAATTATATGGTCCTTCAGTCTTGGGGTGTGTGTGTGTGTGTGTGTGTGTTTGTGTAAAACGCTATTTGTGGTTAAATTTGAAGCTTACCGACACCATTGTATTTTGCCAAGGGTATTTATTCATAGATGTGTACTGTACTGCTCAGTAAACAGGAGTACTGTCTTCACCTAATACTAATTTGTGTTAAGTTTAGTAACGTGGTTTAGTGAGAACAAAAAGTTCTTTATGGATTTGGAAAAAGTGAATACTTGTTTTGTCTCTCTACCCCCAACTAGTTTGTAATGTTTTATTTTAGCATATTTTTTCTTCTAACTCACCTGGTTCAAGTTTTACTATATTAATACTTAATGAGTATAAGGAAGATTCGGCTTTGAGAGGTTCTGAAATCAAAATGTTGCTAACTTTAACTTATATTGAAAATGGTTTTAATTGCTCTGAATTATTTCATAGCTAAACAGCAGTATGGAAGGCTCAGCATTTGTTTTGATTCAGCTTAAAAAATGCAGGTGTAAAGGGCATGAGAGCCCAAAGCCAACAGGAAGCACATCCCTGTCTCCTTGGTTTCTGTAGAGTCAGGACCAGAATAGGAGTTTAGTGTCTTTTGTAAATTTTTTTTTTTTTTTAAGATTTTATTTATTTATTTGACAGAGAAGTCACAAGTAGGCAAAGAAGAAGACAGAGGGGGTGGGGGAAGCAGGCTCTCTGCTGAGTGGAGAGCCCAGATGTGGAGCTTAATCCCAGGACCCTGAGATCATGACCTGAGTGGAAGGCAGAGGCTTAGCTCACTGAGCCACCCAGGTGCCCCTAAAATTTGGTTTTTCATACCAGGATTACTGATCTTTGGTCCAGTTGATAAAATCTAACGATTCCTCTCAGCCTCGAGCATGGAGCCAGGGCTGATGTGAAGGTAAGTACCTAAATAGGTAGTTCTAGTTCTAGAAAGAAATTGAAGGGAAAGGATTACACCAGTTTTCCTTAATATTCTTTAGGACATTTAAATGTTGTCCTGGGATCCAGAAATCCTGGAGAAACACTTAAAAGGGTTTAGAGTGAATGTAATAGGTTTATGCTTTTTGAAGAAAAATAGAAATAAACTTTTTTCTATCCTGCTCCTTGTTCTAGGGGTTGTAGAAGGTGATTTAGCCGCTATAGAAGCGTACAAGTCATCAGGAGGAGATATTGCCCGTCAGCTCACTGCAGACGAAGTGCGTTTGCTGAACCGTCCTTCTGCTTTTGATGTTGGCTATACTCTTGTACATCTGGCTATACGTTTTCAGAGGCAGGATATGCTAGCAATACTGCTTACAGAGGTGAGTATGGCATTTTGGTTAAACATTTTATATGAAGGAAATGTGTTCATTAATTTTTGTTTTTGATGTAATGTTTTTCTAAGCTGTTCTTAAATGTTTCAGATTTCTTTTACTCCCTTTTAAACTCACACTAAACTTGAAACTTCAATAGTGTATAATTCCTAAGGGTGTATGCTTTTAAAATAGGACATTTTGCCATAAGATTGGAATCATCAGTTTGATAAAAAACACTAGGATGTATCTTTCATTCATTCAACTAAAATTTATTGAGTATCTACTGTGTGCTAGGTACGATGCTAAAAAGGGATAGAATTACGAAGGCATTGGCTCTTCCTTCAGTGAGTATCCAGAAAAGTAGAGAAATAAACAGGTAATTCTGTACAGAGAGCATTCTCATAGATGTAAACGCCAGGTGCTGTGACAGTGCTTGGGAAAGTGTTTTGGGGTATCTTGCTTTCTTACCTAGAGCAGGTAATATTGTAGTGGAATCCGAAGGAGAAGTAGGAGTTTGCCTTGTAAGTGGGTAGAGGAGAGAAGGGAACCATTTATTCAGAGGTCCTCGTGGGTTTGTGGTGGTTTTGTGGTCAGGAACTTGCAGGTGCTCAGGATGGCTGGTAATTGGGATCTGGGAAGGGAAGCCTTATGAAGGATCTTCTAGGCCAAGGAACTGGATGATTGTTCCTAGGGCAGTGAACTGGCTGTGCAGAGTGTTAGGGAGAGGGGCAAGAGAGTGGCTAGATCAGGGTGTGTTTGGGCTGCTGTGGATGGGAGAGAGGGAAGCCTCTGTAGGACAGTACCGTGTGATGCTGGCAAGCACTCGGTCAGTACAGGAGTGGGAGTGGCAATGACAGTGGAAGGAAGTGGGCCAGTTTGAGAGTGCTTGGTGGGGCTGGAGTCAAGATTAAGTGGATCAGTTGGATGTGGGGAGTCATGGTGAGAGAAGGGTCAGGTTGGTTCTGAGCTCTTAGGCTTAGATAATGACACAGATGTCACAAAGGATTGCAGAGCAACGATTCAGGATGAGGCCATATTATCCAGGTAATTCTTTTTTTTTTTTTTTTAAAGATTTTATTTATTTATTTATTTATTTGTCAGAGACAGAGGGAGAGAGAGTGAGCGAGCACAGGCAGACAGAGAGGCAGGCAGAGGCAGAGGGAGAAGCAGGCTCCCCGCCGAGCAAGGAGCCTGATGTGGGACTCGATCCCAGGACGCTGGGATCATGACCTGAGCCGAAGGCAGCCGCTTAACCAACTGAGCCACCCAGGCGTCCCCAGGTAATTCTTTTAATGATAAGAGAAATAGAGTAAAAGTACAGGGAGTCAGATCAGTTGTGGATTCAGATTTTCTCAGTAAACTGCTTCTGTGGTATGCATGTGCATATTTGCATATTCAAATTTGCCAATATTGGGAACCATTATATAGAAAGAACTAGGAGGGATTAAGGAATATGAAGGTTACTTGAAAACATGATTGAAATGGCTAGCCATTGTTCAGTTTGATAAGAATCCAGTGACCCCAGAGGCACCAAAAACGGAAAGGGAAGGGCTTGGGGGATAGTAATGGTGAAAACAAGGGGCAGGTTTACTGTAATAGAAAAAGGGACTGTTTGAAAAGCAGCAATGTGATTAAAAAAGGACCAGAGTTCTGGAACCAGAGGATGGAACAATTAGAGGTAGTTTCTGTAGTATTTGAGGTCTGGCTCTATTTGTGTTGTTGTATTGGCAGGGCAAGCGTGTAGAGCTGTAGTTGATGGTGATGGCAGGAGACAGGATAGAGAGGGCAGCCGTGAATCAAGGCTCAAGTCCTTTGGGGGATTCCTGGACTCCTCTCAGCCTGGTGGAGGGCTGTGAGAAAGTTCAGGACTGTAAAAAGCCACTGACCTCCTAAGAGCATCTGGGGACTAACAGTGGGAAGGCAATAGAACCCCATGGTACTTAATATTTACTGCCTAAACAGGTCTCCTTCATTTAGCACCTCCATTTAGACAACAAACAGTTAATACCTTCAGGCAGTTTCTGAGTGTAGGGAATTGAGGAGCTCCTCTGCTGAGTGGTTTTGGCGCAAGGTCTCATGAACTTAAAGCCACATTTTCAGAGCTGCAGGTGTCAGAAGGCTTGACTGGGGTGAGAGGATCTGGATCCAGGCATACTTGCATGACTGGTGGCGGGAAGCTTCAAATCTTGGTCACGTGGGCCCCTCCAGAGGCAGGTTTAACCAGAACTAAGTGATCTGACGGACAGAAGGCACGGGAGAGTCATCCAGATGGAAGCTTCAGGGTCTTCTAGACGGAACCAAACTTAGGAAGTGGCATACTGTCATTTTCCCCATTTCCTCTGGAACACCTAGACCAACAGTGGTACACTGTGGGAGAGGTGGGAGTGGGGTAGATTTCACGGGTAAGAACAAAATTGGTTGTGGAATGTCATCTCAGTGGAGTTGGGTGCTCCAGAGGACAGAACTGAAGGGGCCAGTAGGGAGATTGGACTAAGGGATGCGCTTGCAGAGGGAGCACAGAGCCAAGTACTTTTGGGATGAGACCAGGAGAACATTTATATTATGGGATATGTGTCTGGGGCAGGGGTTTTAATTGGATTTTATTTTTATTTTTATTTTTATTATTTTAAAGGTTTTAGTCATTTATTTGACAGACAGAGGTCACAAGTAGGCAGAGGGGCAGGCAGAGAGAGGCGAGGAAGCAGGCTCCCTGCTGAGCAGAGATCCTGATGCAGGGGCTTGATCCCAGGACCCCGGGATCATGACCCAAGCCAAAGACAGAAGCTTAACCCACTGAGCCACCCAGGTGCCCCTTAATTGGTTTTGGATTGTGGACTCTGTTGGTAATGTGGTGGAACCTATGGACTCCTTTTCATAATACTGTTTTTTAAATGCCTAAAATAAAAGTAAGATTGCAGAAATCAGTTATATTGAAATGATAGTTTTTAGAATATTAGATTTGTGATATATAAGAGAATGCATTTTAAATATAGACAGGAGGGTAGTGAAAATGAAGTATTTAAATTTTTTTAAAAAAGATTTTATTTATTCATTTGAGACAGATACAGAGAGAGACAGAATGAGCTTGGGTGCAGGGGGAGAGGGAGAGGGAGAAGCGGACTCCCTTCTGAGCCAGGAGCCCCACCCCATCCTAAGGACCCAGAGATCACAACCTGAGCTGAAGGCAGATAGATGCTTAACCATCTGAGCCACCCAGGCGCCCCCGAAGGATTTAAATCTAATGAAAATCCCCATTCAGATTCACAGGTCCTTCCCAAGTTCATGTGCCTAAGTTAAGAATTACTAACCTAAGGAGTTGGTTGAGAGTCATAAGGTTGAAGAGGCTAGATGTGAAGGATAGGGAACGTCGTTTGGTGGCTGCGGTCTGTAGTGACAGCAGAAAGCAGAGCTGACTCACTCGGGGTTCACAGCAGACTCATTTCTTCTCCAGCAGATTTAAAACTTCTTCATATGCAGATGTCTTAAACTCCACAAAAGGAATACAGCTTCAATGTAAAATATCTTTGCGTCATTTGTTGCTATCCTCATTAAAGAGAAAAGGAAAGTTCTAGCCATGCTCTCACTTAGAAGTTCTCTGTCTTAGTGCTCACTAGCACGTCACTGCTCCCATTTCATTCCTGTCTGGCTGGCTATACTCCGAAGGTTTGTTGTCTGTTCTACACTTGGAGAGAAGCCAGTTGCTGCTTTAAATATTCAGAGTTATAACCAATGGCGAAGGATTTGCGGTCAGTGGAAAACTAGCCCTTTAAAAATATCATGCTTTCTTTATTCCATGTCAGGATTCTTGAAGTATTCTTAACCCAGCAGAAGTGTGTTTGTACTTTCATCTTTCTCCGTGAGCTGAAATTTCCTGTGTTTTTTTTTAAAGAATGCTTTTATTGTGGGCATGATGCTTAGTCTTAGGTGGTTTTTTGTCCTCCCTCCCTGTCCTAGGATGAACCTTTGCGAACAATACCATTTTACATCATATTTTAATCTAATTCTTTATATATTTCCTTGGGATAAATTCCTAAGAAGTGAATTTCCTGAGTCAGAAGGTAAAGCATTTTTTGGCTATTTTCCTGCAAAGTTGTAATGAAACCTATTTCCACTGGTGAGGAATTAATCCCTTACCTGTTTTAAAATTAACACCCTGAGTTACTGGGAAGGTTTGGTAATTTCTCTTAAATACTGTTGTTTTCTGCTTTTGTTAATGATAAATGAGATGCAGAGGAAAGTTTCTTTTGTATTTAAGGTGTCTCAGCAAGCAGCAAAGTGTATTCCAGCAATGGTGTGTCCTGAACTGACAGAGCAGATCCGGCGAGAGATAGCGGCCTCTCTTCATCAGAGAAAGGGAGATTTTGCTTGCTATTTTCTAACTGACCTTGTAACATTTACCTTGCCAGCAGGTAACTCCAAATTTCAATGTGAAAAGAAATTTTCACTCTATTATGATTCTTTTTTTTTTTTTTAAATGTGTGAGTGAAATTGTTTCTGTTAGAAAGCAGGTAACTTAAGCTACTATATGTGCATTTTAAATTATTTGACTACCTGGAAGTGACCAGTACAAGGGCTCCTTGTAAATTTATGCTTTGGATCTGGTAGGAAGAAAGCAGCTGATATAACTGATTTCTGTGTGGGCCTTATATATTTTAAAAAATCTGTTTTACGCGTTTATTTTTACCTTCAGGTTTAGTTTATGATAGCAGTGCACTCTTTTTTCCTTTTTTATACCTATTTTAAAATTATGTGGGTATTGGTTATTGATATTAACAGATAGGATTAGAACTCTGGCTTTTGATGGGTGGAGTCATTATTTGAATCAAAGATACTGGCATTCTTTTGCAAAGTGTCATTATGTTCTTCACTCATTATATATACCAGAAGTTTCTAAAATAAAGCTTCTCACATCTTGGTTCTTAGTGTCTTGAGCTTTTATATTGACATGAACAAGGACGTTTACAAATGGTAGGGAGATAATAACTAAGCTTTTTTTCTATTTTTTTTTTTTTTTTTAAAGATTTTATTTATTTCTTTGACAGAGAGAGATCACAAGTAGGCAGAGAGAGAGAGAGAGAGAGAGAGAGAGAGGAGGAAGCTGGCTCCCTGCAAAGCAGAGAGCCGGATGCGGGGCTGGATCCTAGGACCCTGGGATCATGACCTGAGCTGAAGGCAGAGGCTTTTAACCCACTGAGCTACCCAGGCGCCCCAACTTTTTTTCTTTCTTTTAAGATTTATTTTAGAGAGCGAGTGAGCAAGCACGAGCAGGGTGGTGGGGGAAGAAGAGGGAGAGGACCAAGCAGACTCCGCACTAAGCGCTGAGCCCAGTGTGGGGCTTGACTTCACAACCCTAAGATCATGACCTGAGCCAAAATCAAGAGTCAGATGCTTAACTGAGCCACACAGGTGCTCTAGTATTTTAAAATCAGACAAAGTTCACTTGAAGTGCATTCTCTGTACATTTAAGCTTACTTTGGTAATGTTTAGATTTTTATTTTGACTTGAAAATAGTCTTTTTTTTTTTTTTTTTTTTTTTTGAGGGTAATGCTTTATTTTAAGGGTAGACTGCTGCATTAGTAAGTGAACAAAGCATGGAGAATTTGAGGAAGATGACAAAAACAGGGATCTGTGTGCCAGTAATTAATGGTTCATTAACTTGTATAAGAAGATTCTAAAGCCTGAAAACAGTAGGCCTGAGCAGAGGTTGAGAGTGTGGGGCAGATAAATATTTGTATGTTGTTTCTGTTTCATAATCTTGAATATCAGATATTTTTTCTGTTTTACTGAGGGATAATTGTCCTGTAAAATTGCCAAATATTTCAAGTATCTAGGGTTGGGGTTAGGGTGATTGTGATTTCATATATGCATACATTGTGAAAAGGTTTCCTCCATCTAGTTAATTAACACACCCATTGTCTTAGATATTTGGTTTATTTATCTGTTTTGGTGAGAACATAAAAGTTTCACTCTGCTAGCAAATTTATGTTATACAGTTACCATGGTTTTGACGTTAGGTGTTCAGCTTTATTCATTTCATAGCTTGGGTGTTTTTGTACCCTTTTACCAATCTCTCTTTTCTTCACTACCCCCCAACCCCCATGCAACCTCCTTTCAACCCTGTTTTTATGAGTTGTTTTTTTTTTTTTGTGTATATGTGTGTTTTTTGTTTTTTTTGTTTTTGTTTTTTTTAAAGAGCCCATATGGAAGTATTACCATGCAGTATTTAATTTGTCTTTCTCTGGCTAATTCCACTTAGCCTAATGCCCTCAGTGTTCACTGGTGTTGTTGCAAATGGGAGGATTTCTTTCTTTCACCTGGCTGAGTAACACCATTTTACAGCCTCCCCCATCTTAATTCATCCATTGTCTATATCTCGGCTGTTGTGAGTAATGCTGCGACACGCATAGGAGTTTAGTACCTCTTCATTATCCTGTTTTCATTCCCTTTGGATGTATACCCAGATGTGGGATTGCTGGATCATGATACTTCTGACATTTTGAGGAACCTCCATGTTTTCCATGGTGGCTGCACCAGTTTACATTCCACTAACTGTGCACAAGGGTTCCCTTTCCCCACATCCTTGCCAACATTATTATCTCTTATCTTTTTGATAATAGTTATATGTAATTATTGGTCCAAATACTCTTTTTATTTTTTTTAGTTAACAGTTTTGCTAAGGAAGTATAGGAAGGAAATCTTTCATGTTCCATTTATGCACACACATTATACATGCATATTTTTTTTGTTTTTTTGTTTGTTTTTTTTTTTTTTACAAAAAGCCACTTGACAACCTTCACTGCAAGGAAGGACCTTTTTTTTTAATTTTTTAAATTTATTTGAGAGAACACATAAGTAGTGGGCAATAGAAGGGGGGAGAATCTCAAGCAGACTCTGTGCGGAGCACCCAGTGTGGGGCTTGATCTCACAACCTGGGATCATGACCTGAGCTGAAGCCAAGCGTTGGACTGAACCACCTAGCTGTCCCAGCAAGAGAACTATTTTAATTTTTTTTATTTTTTAAGATTTTATTTATTTATTTGACAGAGAGAGATCACAAGTAGGCAGAGAGGCAGGCAGAGAGAGCGGAGGGAGCAGGCTCCCCTCTAAGCAGAGAGCCCTATGTGGGGCTTGATCCCAGGACCCTGAGATCATGATCTGAGCCGAAGGCAGAGGCTTAACCCACTGAGCCACCCAGGCCCCCCAAGAGAACTATTTTAGAGGAAGTCACTATTAGATCCTTACATCAAATTTATTAAGTTATGAGACATAAGAAAATCTTCTAAGTCTGTTTTTTTCTTTGTAGATATTGAAGACTTGCCTCCAACAGTCCAGGAAAAACTATTTGATGAGGTGCTTGATAGAGATGTTCAGAAAGGTAAGTGTGGAATTAATGTGATTTAGTTCAATATCCATACACTCTCTGCTTTTTAAGGCTTAGAGCAGTTCAGTGTATGGTTGACTTGTTTTATTTTTACTTTAATTGAAAACGTAAAGTCCTTAGGAGCAGTGTCACATAGTGCTGTTAAAAATGCTCATTCTGTTAATTATATCTTGATAAAACTGGAAAAATTTTTAAGAATGCTCATTCATGGCTCTTAATTGTGATGGAATAAGGGTATAAAAGTTTTTAAGCCTTGGTTTTCTACTTCCTGTTCTAGAATGTGTATATTTCTGTATTAAGCATTCTCAGCAAATAGTAAAGAACTTAAAAGTTGAGAAAATTGGGGCACCTGGGTGGCTCAGGAGGTTAAAGCCTCTGCCTTCGGCTCAGGTCATGATCCCAGGGTCCTGGGATCGAGCCCCACAGAGATTGGGCTCTCTGCTCAGTGGGGAGCCTGCTGCCCACCCCATCCCCGCTTCCCCCTCTATCTACTTGTGGTCTCTCTCTCTCTGTCAAATAAAGTCTTTAAAAAAAAAAAAAAAGTTGAGAAAATTATTCTAGGGCTACAGATGTTTCAACTACTTGGAAGGTTTGTATTCCAATTGATCGGATTTATTTAGTTGTTTAATAGTAAATGAACATCAACTTAACAACATCCAGAGAATGGGTTCTTTCTTCCAGTGAATAGTCCTAAATTGCATGAAAATGAACATGTTACTTAAATTCCTTATATAGAGTTAGAAGAAGAATCCCCAATTATAAACTGGTCTTTGGAGTTGGCTACGCGCTTGGACAGTCGGCTGTACGCACTTTGGAACCGGACTGCAGGAGACTGCTTACTTGATTCCGTGCTCCAGGCTACCTGGGGCATTTACGACAAGGACTCGGTGCTCCGGAAAGCCCTGCATGACAGCCTGCATGACTGTTCACATTGGTGAGCTGTTGTCCTTCCCTCTGTAAAAGCAGGCGTGCTCTTGCCACATCATTTCCCTGTAGTGTTGGGATACTTTTGTGTGTGTGTGTGTGTGTGTGTGTGTGTGTGTGTGTGTGTGTTGGGATACTTTTTGCCTCTTATATTTTCTGTGGAAGCTGGAGGGAAAACTTTGTTTTTTTGCACATTGAGACACTTTAAACATTTTGATAGATTTTGCTAAGCTTTTATATAGAAACATTTGAAGTTAAATAGGTCTTTGCTCATATTTTTAAGTGTTATGAATTCATGTTTATGTTGAAATTTAAGATTGTTAGCATTGTATTACGAGATTTTTTTTCTTCCTGAGGCACATAATCTTCAGACCACATTTTATCTTGCAAATTTTGAAATCCACAGTAAAGTTAAAAAATATATACGTATCAGTGCAACGGACCCCAATATTTCCTGCCTAGTTGTTAATCTGTACCCCCACATATGCTTCATCTCTACATATGTAAACGCTTCCCTTTGCCATTTGGTTTAAGTCCCCATGATGCTGTTCTGCTGACAGTATCTCTCTATATCATTGAAGAACAAGGATATTCTCTTACCTAACCAAGTCCTTATTACCACATCTGAGAAAATCAGCAAGGACTCTGTTATCCAGGATACAGTCCTTATCACATCTTCTAGTTATCTCAGAAATGTTCTTTGTGTAGACAGTTTTCCCTGCTATTTGAAAGTAGAGCATTCCCGGGAATCCTTTTGTCAGCTGAAATGGAGTAAAGCAAAGTGCAGTTACCATCTTGTAGAAGTGAAAATCCTCATTGGGTTTCTTTTTGGCTAGCAAAAACAGGTGCTAAGATAGGTCTTTAGCAAAGGTGAAGGGGTATGAAGCAATCTTTCAGATAGCGGGGGATCCTGTGTGTGTGTGTGTATTTTTTACCCAGCATCCAACCAAGTATATGACTGGTCTTGACTTAAAGTGTTTTCTTGGTTCTGTATATACATTATCTCTGTTATCATAAATGAAAAAAATTGAGGCTGAAAGAAGCTAAGTTAATTAAAATGTGTTCTTTTTTCCTTTTACACTTAATTACACAATAATGATAATGGCCTTACTCCAAAAAAACTCTGCGCCCCTAGTGCCTCTGTGTAATTTTTCAGCACCTGTGTATTTTTTTTGTCAGTATTGAGGGGTTATGTGAGTCCATTAGAACATAAACTCCATGAGAATAGAGATTTTGTTGTGTTTCATTGTGGAAGATCTGGTGCCTCCAATAGCCTGACCCAGAGTAAGTACTTACTAACTATCAGTAAGTGTAAATGGAAGCAGTATCATCGCTTTTTTGAGAGCTAAAGTATAGATCAAAGCATAATGTAAGACAGGAAGAATTTGAGGTCACCTTAAAAACATTAAAAAGCTCTCTGGCTGGCAAGCCATGATGGTGACCTGAATGGATGTATAATGCACACAGGTGTACCTCGGAGATACTGTGGGTTCCGTGTCAGACCACTGCAGTAAAGTGATATTGTAGTAAAGTGAGCCGAAGGAAACTTTGGCTTCCCAGTGCCTATGAAAGTGTAGTCCGTAGTCAAGTGTGCAATAACATGAAGTCTTAAAAAACTATACCTTAATTTTAAAAATAGTTGATTGGTAGGAGACCCTAACCATCATCTGAGCTTTCAGTGAGTCATAATCTTTTTGCTGGTGGAGGGTCTTGCCTCAACATTGATGACTGCTGGCTGATCAGGGGATGGTGGCCGTTTCTTAAAATAAGATGGCAGCAAAGTTTGCTGCATCAGTTGACTCTTCACAGGTGATTTCTCTGTAGCATGTGATGCTGTTTGATGGCATTTTACCCAGTCAGAATTCCTTTCAGCACTGGAGTCCGTCCTCTCAAACCCTGCTGCTGCTTCACCAGCCAAGTTGATGTGACCGTCTCAAGCCTTTGTTGGCATTTCATCAGCCTTTAGAGCATCTCCACCAGGATTAGAGTCCGTTGCAAAAAACCACTCTCCGCTCGTCCATCCCAAGCAAGTCCTCATCTGTTCAAGTTCTGTCATGAGATCACAGCGCTTCAATCCCATCTCGACGCCCTGCTTCTCATTCTGGCTCTGTTGTTTTTCCCACCACAGCTGTGGTGACTTCTTCCACTCAGGTCTTGAACCCCTCCAAGTCATCTGTGAGGGTTAGAATCAACTTTTTCCAAACGCCTGTAGATGTTATTTTGACTTCTTTCCATGAATCATAAATGTTCTTAGTTGCATCCAGAATGGTGAATCCTTTCCAGAAGTTTTTCTGTTTCTTTGCCCAGATCCCTCTGTGGAATCCGTGTGTATGGCAGCTAGCTATGGGCTTACTTGGAATAATGACCTGAAGGGTGAAATTACTCCTTGATCATGGGCTGCAGAATGAATGTTGTGTTAGCAGGCATGAAAACAGTCTGTCTGTCTGTCTCCATCTTGGGTGATCAGGTGAATGTCAGTGCTGTCATATGTCTGTCTGTTATGTCTTATGTCTGTCATAATTTGAAAGGAGTTTTTTTACCTGAGGGGTAAGCATTGGGCATTTAAAATATTTAGCAAATTACATATATATAAATATATAAAAATTTAGCAAATTATACTCAAAATGGATGTGCTGTCATCCAGGCTTTGTTGTTCTTGTATAGAGCGGAGTGTATTTAGCATTTTTAAGGGTCCTAGGAGTTTTGGAATGGTCAGTGAGCCCTGGCTTCAACTTAAAGTCACCAGCTGCATGAGCCCCTTAATAAGGGAGTCAGATTGTCCTTTGAAGCCTGGCACTGACTTCTCCTCTCTGGCTGTGGACAGTCCCAGATGGCATCCTCTTCCAGTGGAAGACTCTTTCACCTACGTTGAAAATTTGTTGTTCAGTGTAGCTACCCTACATTCATGATCTTCAGCGAGATCTGGAAAACCTGCCGCAGCTCTCGTGTCACTTGCTGATGGGCCTTGCGCTTCGATGTCTGGAGACCGCGTCTTTCCTTAAACCTCACAAGCCAGCTTCTGCAGTTTCAGATTTCTCTTTGATAGTTTCCTCATTTCTCTGAGCCGTCACAGAATTGAGCATTAGGGCCTTGCTCTGGAAGTGGTTTTGATCCTCCACTTGTGAACACATGGGCTATTTCTAGTCTATTGTTTATACAGTGGCCAAACAGTAATGTGGAAATGTAGTGTCTTTGATTGTATCCAGTATTTCGGGTGATTTTGAATGTTTGGGGTTTGTTTTTTTTTTGGTTTGTTTTTTTGGTTTTTGTTTTTGAACTTGTAAACCAATAGTAGACATTTGAAATTGATTGTTCTCATCATTAGTGTTTTGGTTGAAAACTTGGTGGGTGGTGAATGAAATTGTGTGTGAGAATGTGTTAAATGATGTCTGCTAGCAGAAGGTAGGTATTTTTAATTTGAAAATTTAGTGCAAACTGGGTAAAATTAATACAATTGCTGATCTCTTTACACGAATTGCTTAAAGACTACATTAAATAAATGATTGGGAACATTTATAGAAGGCTTATTTTTTACTATCTTTTTCAGGTTTTACACACGTTGGAAAGATTGGGAATCATGGTATTCTCAGAGCTTTGGTTTACATTTTTCCTTGAGAGAGGAACAGTGGCAAGAAGACTGGGCATTTATACTCTCTCTTGCTAGTCAGGTAAGAATGCTTTGAGACATGTTGCTTCTGTGAGAACAGTAGGCTACATGCTCTGAACCCCTGGATTTACATGCGTGAACTATGTTGGAGGCATTGGAGTGTGCACGAAAGAGCATCAGGTGATGCATCAGGTGACTTTGGTTCTGGCCGTGACTGCTGTCTGTCGACTATATGATCAGAGGCAAATCTGCACCACAGGACAGAGGCAGTAACATGTTTCTTACATTAAGTGATTAGAAATTGTCAGAATGAAAGTTGCACTGTGATGATTCCAAGCGCTTATATACTTTTTTCAGATTGTTCTTCATTTATATTGTCCTCTTAGCAAAGTGGCTTTATGCCTGTTTATCTACCTACTGGTTAGCTCCTATTTTGTGTCTGAGAGGGCACTGAACCGAGATCGCCGAGCTGGTGGTGGGCACTGGTGCTCTGCTTTCGGGCCTGGAGAGTGAAGTGATGTGTGAGGCTCTCTGTCCATGTGATGTGTGCTAAGGGGAAGGTGCCATGGCCGGCAGGTGGAAGGATTTCTTTAAAATTAACCTGGGAATGAACTTTTAGAAAAATGAATCGTGTAGGGTTGTTCCTTTTAGACTCTAGCTTTCCTACTAGTTTTATTCCGTGAAGTATGGTCAGTATACTGAGCTGTAAAGTTCAAATATACACATAACAAACCATCCCTGTTCTTCGCGGAAAGCACCATTATATACTCGAAGCCTGTGAGTGAAGTACCTTCTGTCACAGTGGCTGTTTTACACCTGCGACACGTACGTCCTAAAAATGGGTTGTCACAATCATCATAGAGGGGTGATAGACCCGTTCAGTATTCTTGCTGTTTATGTTTGTGAGAAATAACAGCTCCTCTTTTTACTAGGGTCGTGCTCTAACAGGTGACTTAACAAGGAGGCCATGGAGTGACTCCAGTGTCCCTTGCTATCTCAATCTCTTGTTCCTGGGATCACTGTTTAACCAAATCCATTGGGTTCTTGAGATTGGATAGCGAACTAGCTTGTGTGCATGGAACTTGCAGATCTCTTTTATTGTTGCATTGGATGTTGCCGTCAAAGACGCGCACTCTTCTTTAGCCCGACAGTGTCACTGCTAATAAAGGCATCGGTCTAGTGTGCTGAAGGGGAACAGCGTTGTGTTTTGCACAGTCGTTTTCCAGGGCAGAAATAAATGTTTGAAAGTGAAATTGCTTTCTTTATTTCATTCCATACAGCCTGGAGCAAGTTTGGAACAGACACACATTTTTGTACTTGCACATATTCTTAGACGACCAATTATAGTTTATGGAGTAAAATATTACAAAAGTTTCCGGGGAGAAACTTTAGGATATACTCGGTTTCAAGGTAAGCCATGTTCAAGAGTATTTTTGAAGTCTCTCGTTACTCCCCATGCGGCCTGCAGCCCTATCCTGATAGCCCCATGGGGATTTTCTCTCCTCGCTCCAGGTGTTTATTTGCCTTTGTTGTGGGAACAGAGTTTTTGTTGGAAAAGTCCCATCGCTCTAGGCTATACAAGGGGCCACTTCTCTGCTTTGGTTGCCATGGAGAACGATGGCTACGGCAACCGAGGTGCTGGTGCTAACCTGAACACCGATGACGATGTCACCATCACGTTTCTGCCTCTGGTGGACAGTGAGAGGAAGTTACTCCACGTGCACTTTCTTTCTGCCCAGGAGGTGAGAGGCGCGGCGCTCCTGTGAACCACCTGAAATAGTCATGCTGCCTGGACCCAGGCCCGGACCCAGACCCCGCCGTGGCCTTGCTGCCGCCGTGGCTTTCTCTGCACAGCCAGCCCCACTGCTGTGTCTAGCGCTGGCACTCGGCTTGTCCTGTGGACACGGTCCGCAAGACCGTGACACGTACCTTTCTCCGAGTTGCTCTGTAGGTTGTGGGGTGCACATGCAGCAGGGATGGGAAGATGACAGTCCCTGCCCTGAGGCAGGGAGGGGTGCTGAGGAGAAAACTGGGAAGATGGGGGGGTGACACGGGACTCATGATTGCCGTTGGGCCGTCTGAGGTGGAAACACCTGAAATGAGCCCCGCAGGGGAAGAGAGTCTAGCAGAATGTGGGGGAAGAGAGCTGGAGGGAGGGGTACCGCAGGGTCTCTGTGTGGTTTGTGGGGAAAAGGGGTTGAGGGGCTCAGGGATGGCAGAGGGCTTACCAGCAGCCTTTTAAAGCTTGGCTTAGACGTTCGGCAAGCTGGGAAACCCGTGGCCAGTTTGTCCGGTAGAGGAGCACTGGCTGCTTGTTGTGGAGACTCGAGACAAGATGTCTGGAGCAGTGGTGGGGGCAGGGGCGAGGGAGGTATAGACCAGGCAGGGGCAATGAGGCTGTGGAGAAAGAACACTCTCCGAAAACCCGTATTCTTCAATAATTATTGGGCTTTTATTTAATATACTAGAAATTATAAAACTTCTACCATTAAGACATTAATTAGTAGAACATAATTTTTATAACTTCATTCTGTAAATAGTTTACTGAATAAACTTACCTTGTCATGTGCTTGAAGCTGAGACTTTTTTTCTAGCCTTTTCTTGGCCAAGATCAGTCCATTTGGTTTTTCCTGTTCTTTCAAACAAATTAACCCATTAGTAGGTGGTTTCTCCCCCCGTGAGATTTTCCTGTGCATTTTCCCATAGACATTTTTCTGTTTAACCATAGGAGACTGGGTTTTATCATAAAATTGATGAGAGGCTGAAACTGAAAAGTTTGTTGCTTTGACCTTTTCATTAGTAATCCTGTCACCTATGTTTTCATTAAACTTCCTAGCAGGTCTCTGATCTGTGGTATTATTTCCCCTTTTCTTTACATTCCTCTAAAAGCTAGGTAATGAGGAACAGCAAGAGAAACTGCTCAGGGAGTGGCTGGACTGCTGTGTGACCGAAGGGGGTGTGCTGGTGGCCATGCAGAAGAGTTCTCGGCGGCGGAACCACCCCCTGGTCACGCAGATGGTAGAGAAATGGCTTGACCGTTACCGACAGATCCGGCCTTGTACATCCCTGTCAGACGGAGAGGAAGATGAAGATGATGAAGATGAATGAAAAAAAAAAGAGCAGAAGACCAAGGTATCAGCTCTGTGGTGACCCCAAAGCTGGTGTGGTGCACGCTCCAAGCAGAGCGCAGGGCATGGAAGGAACCAGATCTGGCAGGATCTGCCCAGAAGGGCTTTTCTAATCCACACCCATGGAGATGACGCATCTGCTGTGTGAGGAGACAGAGAACTTTGTTTGGACTACAGTTTGTTTAAAAAAAAAAAAAAAGGGAAAAAGAAAAAAACCCCTAATTTTATTAAGACTGAACTTTTTTCCTTTCAAATTGTAAATCTGTCTATAAATGTAACGCATGTGGTTGTGTAAGAAGTTGTGTAATAGGACAAGTTGTACCAGCATCTTCTTCATATTACTGAGAAGTTTCTTCCCGCACGGGCACCTCCGGACGCACATGGCAGGTGACTCTTTGTTCCTTTGAGATACTCTTTTTGAAGTAGAACCTGGCCTTCTGCTTCCATCGTAAGAGATCCACTTTACGTTAAGTCTCATTAGAGCTCATTAAAGATTTGGAACCTTTTTGTACAAATTATCCACAGCAGAATATAAAAATAAAAACAAGCTTTTATTTTAATTTAGTTCCTGTCGTGCCCAATAAAACGAAGTCAAATCTTCAAGGAACAAACTGCAAGGAGAGTAGGATTGTGTGAGCGGACTTCACACAGACGTCATTCCCTTGTTTCAGAAAGGGTTTGGTTTCTAATATTTCGTCTTTTTTTTAAGCTTCTGTACATCCCTTTTCAGTATTTAGGTATTTGTTTGGAAGAGTGCCCTCGAAATGAGGGTGGTTCTCCCAGAGTCCGGGCGGCAGTCTCTCGGTGAGCCGTCACTCCCTGGACCCAAGTTAGGGAAGGGCCTGGGGAACGGGCCCCCTTGTCACTAGATGAACTGCGGGAGATTTGCGCACTTGATTTGGCTGACGATGTTCTCCTCCCAAATGGCCCTGCAGAGGCTCTTTGGATTATTGCTTTATCATCAACTCTGCTTTAAGCAAATCGTGTTAGAAAGGCATGCCTTTGCTCGGGCTAAGTGGGAACAGTTAAGTATAGAATAAAGATTGAAAAATGCAGTAAGGTGGAAATGCATTGTATAATGAATTTCTCAGAGTAGTCTGAGAATTTTTGCATGTTGGTTAATTGTGGCCATTCTTATTTAAAAGTTTAAACTATAATCTTAGATAGAAATCTTTTTATAAAAAGTATTATTTGACCACTTCAGGTATATGTCAATACTGGGTAAAAATTTCAGACCTATCTCAGGAACACACAAAAGACTTAGTGTCCTGATAAGCACTTTGTAGATTCTTGATGTGGGAAGGAGTTTGGAAAGCAGCCCCGTGCGCACACACATGCATGCAGTTTCTTCCCTTTGGTGAAAAGGCTGTGAAAAACCTTTAAATATTTGCTTCTTGTTTTCTTCTAAGTTCTGTTTAGATGGTGTTTTAAATGTGCGCAACCTCTGACTTGATGCTGGAAAACTAAAGATAGAAAAACACCCATGAGATGTCCTGTCTTTAGTTCCTTCTCCCTTCTCAGAACAGTGCAGAGGGATTCCCAGGATGAAAGGATCACTTGTGCTGTATGCTAAAACTTGCAGGAAACTTTTCTTGATTCCATATAAATGAGTTCTGGTGTAATAATGGTAAATGTTACTGTTCTAAGTGGCTAGGTTTCCCTACAAATTGACTCTGGTTGGCTTTCGTTTTGGTCAGTAATTAAGTTTTTAGAAGGCTATCGTTTTAAGCATAGCATCTCTATATAATTTTTCTCCATACATAGGAAGAATTTTTTAGTGGGCACAGATCCTATTCTAGTTGCTGTTAAGCAAAAACTACCCTCCCAATTGAAGAAGCCAAAGAGAAACGTTTGAGAGAAGCATCTAGTCACTGTGGTCTACACCGCAGTCAATGCTGTCCAGAAAGCATAGGCTCAGTAGTTAGCCTGTATGTGGTGGTCTGCTGAGTGGTGTTTCCCCCAGGTGCCTCTTTATTTATTTATTTATGATCAGTGAGCCTGACCACACCTAGTTTAACGGGTACAGCATTCTTCCCTGTGGGAAAGGTAAGAGCATTGCATTTCCTAGGCTCCAGACAGGGATGGGGCTCTAAATGGTTTTCATAGCAGATTGGCTGCTAATGGCCAAAATGTTGGTGAATCAATGCTATGTTAAGCTCTTGAACTATTAAACAGCCATAATTGTTGTCCCGAGATAGAGTACACAGTCCTTTTCTCCAAGATGAGGTCTTGGTTGACTCTGGACAGTAATACCTTACCTGTATGGATTTAACTTTATGGTTCTTTTTTAGGGAGAATACAGTGTGGTGTTTCCTGTTCTAATTAAACAAAACCTAGGTGTACCATGGATTTGAACTGGCCTTTTTTGTTTTTGATTCTAGGCTCACCGTGTTCCAGACTTCATCCGTTATGGGAACACTGCTTTCGTTAGGCAGCTGGGGAATCTCTCTTCTGTACATTTGTCGTCATGCCCTCATTGAGAACATCCTGGTTATGACAAGGATGTTCAGCTCCCATTCCGTTTCCTGGAGTGCTGGGTCAGTCAGTGACCATGTGCTCTGTCTCTATCCACAGGAGGTTGTTTTAATGTAGTTTTTCTGGGAGGGTTGGGATGGGACCACCACCTTCAAATGAGTGAGGAGGTTGATGTTTGAAGACCCCATCACAGCCCCTCCCCTCTCCTTTCTTCATGGGAAGGGGGAGGGAGGGAGAAAGGAGTGATAGGGAGTTGGGTACCTGGCATTGGACCTGATGGATGGCTTGATACTTGGCGGATACCACTAGTGTGAAGGAGTTTAATGCTATTCATGAAGGAAAATCCTTTACATCAACTTAAAGTTCTTAACATGGAAATGGCTGATGTTAATTTTTTTGCAACATTTCTTTGTAAGTATCATTTAAAAGAATTTTGAGATTCATTTCCCTTCCTGCATTAATGCTTGAGGCAGGTAATTTTGCTTTTGGGTAAATTAAAATCAAAACTCTCTAACTTGACCAATTTTGTTTCTTGGATCGACATAGTTCCAACGCACTCTTTCATCTTGAGGATGTCACGATTTGATAATGATGGACTTAGTGGGCGGTTTTCTGATTTCTCCTTTAAGCTATCCCGAGTCTGGTTATAGAATGGGTAGATGGGAAAGTGTTCATTTTTGAACCCAGAAGGAACACGAGTTGAAAACTGGCTAATAGAGAATATAGTTGCCTTTAAAACATCTGTAAAGAATTTTTACCTGGGTGAGATGTACTTGAATTTCAGAACTTTACAAATTTTTATTACTTTTTATTGAAAACTGCACTGAACGCTAAATGTCCACCTTACAATAAACAGACACAGTAGCGGTAACTCACACTAAAACAAAACACTTCCGATAGCCATTATTTTTCTGTTTGGGACAGTTTTAAAGGATTTTTTTTTTTTTTTTGTCACAAAAACAGGAATGTACCTATACAAAGGCTCAAAATAGGCCATCTTTTAAACAAAAAGGCGATGATTCACAAAAGACTATGAATATAACATGTAACTAGTTGATACAAATCTAATAGGATTTGTTAAAATCAGTCACATCTAGTAACACACCTGAAGTGTTCTTGTATAAAATATCACGTGAAGAAAAGAAGATTTATCAATGTCTAAAAAAGTGGGTTTGTTCATAGACAATCTGACAAGTTACCATAAAAAGTGTTTCCTGAGACATAAGGAAATGCAACATTATTTTTCTTGAACTCTTTCAGCTCAAGACTTTCCACTCAATAAAATAGCTGAGGATCTGAAACTGAGAAAATATATTTGAGTACAAACAGCTTGTGAAACTTAATACTTTTTTCTTTTTTTTTTCTTTTTTTCCTTTTTTTGCATCATCAAGAGGGTATTACTGAATTCACAACCAACTCGCCCGCTCAGTATGCAGTTCAGATGGGAGAGAGACTTCTGTACAGGAGCTTGTACGCTCGCGGCGGTCTAACGGGCACAGTTTCCTCCCCCTTCTCTGTAGTAATTTAATCTTCCTCTCAGCAAAAGAGGTCACCAGCCCCCATGGACTGAAGGGATTAGAGTCACAGGAGGGGGATTTCCTCTTAGTATTTTTTTATTTTGACGTTTGGAACTCCTGATGCAACATTCTAGAGCAAGGTGTTCAGGACCTGCTGTGCCCAAGGGGCTGATAAAGGAAAAGGATCTATTTATTCTTTGTGATTGGATGCACAGATGAAGAACGTAACACACAATAACAGAAGTTGGTCGTTAATAAATCACATCCTAGTCTTTCAGCGCTTCCGTCACCAGACGACAGCTCCAGCCTTCCCACACCTCGGCTTCTTGCTCTCCTAACACTGCAGCGTCAATGATGCATATGTCCGGAATCCGTTAAAAAGACGGTCAAAGTCCTTTCCTTAGTTCATCTATTTTTTACTGTCTCTTGGTCCCAGGTTTTCTGAATGATGACCGTTCCTCATTCTCTGCTATTGCTCATTGGGGTGCTCTCTATTGTCCCCGTGTTTTGTAGGCTGGTTGGGAGAGGGAGCTTGGGAAGGGTGTGCCACTGTGGGGAGGTTGTGAGTCACCGGGATGCCGCCGGGGATGATGCCCTCCATGGCTGCAGGAAGTCCGCCCGGGGCCACCCCGACGATGCCTGGCGGGTATCTGAGGAGCACACAGAGAAAGGGCCAGTTAGGTCGGGAGCAGGGAGGAGCTGAGCTCTTGGCTCTGCCTACTTTTTTAAAAAAAATAGATTAGTTTGTCACTTTACTGGCAAAGTACGGAGAAATCTACATGAAAAAACGATGATCCTTAATTCAACAAAATCTATAGTCCCATCAAAACACTGCCACAGACTTTTGCTTTTCACACAATGGTAATAGCCTGTGTTAATTCTGTCCATAGACCCTGTATTGCATTTGGGAAATGTCTGGTACAAAAACACACTTCCCAAGTTGTCTGACTGCCTTAGCATTCATTAATATGTCGATACTTCTAATGATTTCCCGACA